TCTCTCTCTCTCTTTCTCTCTCTCTCTCAATCTCTCTTTCTCTCTCTTTCTCTCTCTCTCTCTCTCTTTCTCTCTCTCTCTTTCTCTCTCTCTCTTTCTTTCTCTCTCTCAATCTCTCTCTTTCTCTCTCTCAATCTCTCTTTCTCTCTCTCTTTCTCTCTCTCAATCTCTCTCTTTCTCTCTCTCTCTCTCTCTCTCTCTCTCTCTCTCTCTCTCTCTCTCTCTCTCTCTCTCTCTCTCTCTCTCTTTCTCTCTCTCTCTCTCTCTCTCTCTCTCTCTCTCTCTCTCTCTCTCTTGCATTTTGAAATGAAAAGCAGCTGCTGGGAGCTGAAATAGGAGCGGGGAGGATTGAGCCACGATAGCAAGGGAAAGGTATTTGGCAAAACGAATTGATTTCAAAGTTTCTTGGGTTACAGTCCTTCTGGTTGTAGAAGGACTTAAGAAAAACCATCATTATGTGTGATCAGCAAGAAATTCCACCGAGCAGCTGTTAGGGGGGTAGGAAGAAAGAAATTCCCCCAACTTTTCTTCCAAACTATGTCAGTCAGAACTATTTTTATTGGGAAAGTATCTTCTGTCAGCGCCTTTCTCATTCCTCGGTGCATTGATCAACAGAGTTGGAAGGGAACTTGGAAGTCTTCTACTCCAGAATTTCCGTTTCCAAACAAGGCAGCTGTTAAGTGAATCATGTCTGATATTAGGACCTTTTTGTTGCCACGGTTGTTAAGTGAATCACTGCAGTTGTTAATTGAATCAAGAAGTCATTAAGTGAATCTGGATTCCCCATTGACTTTGCTTGTTTGACGTCAGGTGGGGAGATTGCAAAAGGCGATAACGTGACTTGACTTATGACCACAATTGTGCCCAAAATTTATGTGATGACCCAAAGGGGCGTGGCACAAAAGCAACGAAGTCCCCAAAAGTAGGTAAAGTCCCTTTAATTCCTCCAACTTGGCCTCCCATGTCCAGTTATCTTTGGCTGGAGAAAAAAACTCTCCCAAGAACAGTTTTTAAAGGGAAGAAATTCAGTTGAACCCAAAGTACATATAGATTATAAATAAAAACCAACACAAACCACACTACAGCGATTAACGAGACAGGGCAGGATAAGGGATTGCAGACTTCAAAAGATAATGAAACACACACAGTTGGGAGGACGCTAGAACCCAGATAAGACAAATAAAACAAAGATAATGATAAAACAAAGATAATACAAGCTTTGCTTCCAGCAAGGTGCTGTGTGCAACCCCCTTCTTTATCCTGTTTCCCCAGCTGCAGCTAATGAAGAGGATCAGGGCCCTTTCCTCCCCCGTAAACTACATAACCCACATTGCTTCCTTCTCCCTTCCTCCCTGCGTGCCCTAGGATGAAGAGGGGGTGGCCCTGGGTCTTCCTCTGAATGCCCCGCCAGACCATGCCCTTCGCCAGTTTCCTCCACAGCCACCAGAGCCACACTCCCACTCTCTGTCAGCTGCTCGACCTCCCCTCAGAATCAGATTCCAACAGGGGCGTGGCAATTAATGTTGCTAAGTGAGAAATTTGTTAAGTAAGTTTTGCCCCATTTTACAACACTCCCCCCCCCCCAAAAAAACAAGCAAGCTCAGAGAGCACCAAGGACCCCCTCATTTCAACCCTGAGCTATTAATATTTTCCTTTAATGGTACAGGACTTGAACTTACTGTCTCCTGGCTTATAGCTTGGTGTCCTAATCACTAGGCCAAAGTGAGCCTCAAATCTAAAATTTGGTTTAATGTCTGTAGAGATTCTTTGTCATCCATGTCATGGTTGTCCCCAAAGGTTTTTATTCTGTCTTCTGGGAGGGGTCAATCATCTCCAAGCCTTACTCCCGAGTTTTTTAGATAACAGATAATCAGAGTTGGAAGGGACCTTGTAGGTCATCTAGTCCAACCCCCTGCCCAAGCGGGAGACCCTACACCATTTCTGACAAATGCCAGTCCAGCCTCTTCTTGAAAGTCTCAACGGATGGCGCTCCCACAACTTCCGAGGGCGACTTCTGTTCCATTGGTCGATGGTTCTCCCTGTCAGAAAGTTTCTCCTTATTTCCAGGTTAAATCTCTCCTTGTTCAGTTTCCATCCTTCCTTTGAAGACGTTTCGTTTCTCATCCAAGAAGCTTCTTTAGCTTTGACTGGATGCTGAGGAATGGAGGGATTTATATTTCTTGCAGACAGCTGGTCATCCTTTTAAAGGGTTGTTGTTTTTTTAAATAAATATTTTATTGAACTAAACAATTAAAAACATTGAACATGGTCAGGTCGGTTTGACATAATTTTGGGTCGATATCGCATATATTTTTTTTCCTATAAACAATTATTCAACTATATACATATATCCATTTGTTCATTCATATATTACATTTCTAACATCCTTCGTCTTTTATTATCACATCCAATCATTTACCCTTTCAGCAACTCCTTCCCCGACTTAAGACCTTCCTCTCTGCTCCCACCAGTGATAGAATTTATTCCAAATTGCATAATATGCCGATTCATCATTGTTTTCCATTTCTAGCGTTAACTTGTCCATTTCAGCGGATATCAAGTTTTTGTTTATTACTTCTTCTTCACTTGGTATAACTGTCTCTTTCCAGTTCTGGGCAAATGCTGTTCTTGCTGCAGTAATAATGTGTATAATCAAATAAAGCTCATCTTTTTTGTACATTTTTTGACATCATTCTTAAGAGAAAACATTCTGGTAGGTGATCTACTTTAAAAACCAACGTTTCCTCCAGCCGCTGACCCGTCCTAAGCCAATATTCCTGCCAGGGGTGGGATTCAAATTTTGTCACAACCGATTCTGTGGGCGTGGCTTAATTTGTGGCTGTGGCTTGGTGGTCTTGTGACTGGGTGGGCATGGCTTGGTGGTCACGTGACCAGGTGGGCATAGCTTGATAGCCATGTGACTGGGTAGGCG